TCAAATATTCAGTGTTGACCTATCAATAAATCATGCCAACATAATCCCCACTGCCAACTAGCCAACTTTTTTACTTTCCCATTTACTTACCTAATACAAACATACACACGCACATACTCATAAACAACTATAAGAAAGTTTAAGTTAATCCAGGCTGTCAAGCCAAACGCAGCTAAAAGCTTTCCATTGAATATGAAGGCAAGGTGATTTTGGGTTGCAGCAACTTCATTTAACCAACAAATAACTTTCGATGCAACGCAACTTTTATTATAACCATTTTACCTGCTGATGTTTTTATTCTACCCGTTTTTAGTATTTTTGCTGTTTGTTTACTAGCGAATGTACATATGCTTGTGTGTATGTATGTATGTGTGTGTGTGTGTGTGGGTGTGTGTGGGTGGATGTGTGCGAGAAAGTGCGGGATTGCGTTCGTTGTATTCATGACCTCCATTAAGTTGTCTTCACTCGCCCTGCGGACTCTCATCACATCGGCAATTCAACGCTTTAGTCTTCTACTTTCTTAACATTTCGGTCTCAGCTTCTGTCGGCATCGACCTCAACGCTTGCCTACCCCAGCGCTTGCATCTTCCTGTGCAAATATAGTTTGGCACAGGAGTATTAACTTATTATGCTGAGACCCTTCCGCTCTGGCGAAGGCCGCACGCGGTAAAACTTTAATAACCTAGAAAATATAGCCAACGACAGTGTGAAGATGCGGACGCAACGAAAAGGGATCAACGAAGTAGTAATGGCAATAGCAAATATTAACGTAATGGTGATGGCTTGGCTATGGTGTTGGTGGCTGACGAAAGCTTTATATGAAATCTTATTCACACCAAAGTTTAAATCCACTCAACTTACCTGGAAAAACGTGCGTTCGGCGAGAAGAGGCTGAGGAAATGAGGCGGTGCAGATGCAGTTTTACTGGCTGCCACCGTTATGCCAGAACTTTATCCAAGCCTGATTGCAAATGCGCTTTTTTATCTACTTTAGCCACCAAGCACACACACACACACGCGCGCGCGCGCACACAACAGGAGTGCACATAAAAAAGGAAAGTTTGTGCAACAACAATTGTTTTGCTAATAATAACAGCGGCAGCTATAACAAGAGAGCAACAACGGCAGCAGCTAAAATAGCTGTAATGTCGATGTTTTACGTTATTACAGCAATTTATTGTTATAGGGTCTTCTTCGTCTTCTTTTTTTTTAGCATCTAAAGCTCCAATTACTAAAGAACGTAAAGCATATGAGAATAACTGTGGAAAGAGCTAAGAAATGCTGAGCCCAGAAATGGAAGATTCAGCTGAACAGGTACGCAATTTCCCAAATGGACAACCGTACGCTAAGCAACGCCGCTTGGCGAAAGCTTACACCACCCTGGTCGTCAGTTATTTTATTTATGTTCAACAAACAGTGGCGCTGCGTCGGTTAATTCATAAATAAGAAAGAAACACCTTTTTCTGCAATGTCCGTGGCTCAATATCCAACTAGATCCATAACTCGTACAATCACTTGTCAAGAGGAATTTGGGGATTGAAACTAGCACTAAGCTGAATTGAGATGAATATTTAAAAGAAGCATTTTTTAAAAATGTAACCGTTGATAAAATTAAAAGAAAAAAATAATAAATATTTTATTTAGCCTTATTAAATGAGTTCTCAAAACCATGTAAGTGCGAGGACACTAGAGTCGAGGGAACTTCTCTTGATGAATCCGCAGCTCAATTGATGTCAATAACAGATGGAAATCGATATCAAACGGTAAATGCTAAGCAGATTCCCACTGCCAGCCGCCCATATATGCTAGGATGTGAACAAAATATCTATAACATAAGTCCAGGAGCGGTATATATGTAGCGAAAGAGGAATTATCAAAGTTCCGTTTATTGAAGTAAGTATCAAATTACAAAAGGCATTACAACAATACCACTCTATATCCACTGAGAGGCTTAGAGGATAATTTCCAGTCGGAAAAAGCGTTGCCATTGGTTCTGTAGAGTAGCGAAGATGCCACATATGGAAAAACGTGCGTTCGGTGAGAAGAGGCTGAGGAAATGAGGCGGTGCAGATGCAGTTTTACTGGCTGCCACAATGATCTTGGAGAGCATGCATCGCAAATGGGTTGGCCTTATAACTCTATAAGAGCCGTTGCCGCAACTGTGAATTCGTAGAGAAAGAGAAAAATTATCCGTTTCTTTGTGAGTGCCCAGCTCTTAAGCGAATTAAATACAGAAGACTTGGAATCTATCATATAGCAAATGCTTAATGGCTGTCCCCAAAAAGCATATCCCAGCCTATCTACTACTACTATGTGTCTAGATCTTTACCGAGTAACGGGCTAGCTGTACTTTAGTGCCGTGGGGTATTTGGGATCTACAGTTTATACTAGGCCGCCAAGTGATGGACTTTTATGAAGCAGAAATTTTTATTTCATGGCAGAAAGATACTTAGCGGGATTGACATTCTTATTCGAGAAAACACTCAAACGCAATGAATACATCTGTAAAAGTGAAGTAATTTTATGAATTCTTCTTGTTGCCACTGTCAATGATGTGGAACGTACTAAAAGTCCCCCTTCCTATTGGAAGAGCCGGATGAGCGCATTTGTTTGTTTTTTTGGAGCCTTCGGATAAAAATATCTAAAATGAAGTCGAACATACAAAAGGTAAGCTTCAATTGTTTTAGTTGGTGCTGCCACCAGAGCAGAACAATTTTCGCCTCCCTCATTAAGAGCAAAACAATCTATACCACGCTATAAAATTTAATTTGAAATCGGTATCGAGCCCAAGGTTGCATCAATGTCTAATTAAAAAAAAAAAGCTTTCAATTACTATATCTGAAAATAGCCTCAATTTTCTTGTTGCCTACTTTTTGGCGTTTAGGCGTTCTTTAGCTAGCTAAAATGTAATTTTTGGCTTTTCAGCGCTGAGTGATGCACTTAATTCGTCAGATATCAACGTCATCAATCTTAATTTATCTTACGCTCCGCTTCTTCGCTTCCTACGCCTTCACAACTGTGTCTTGGGTAAAGTTAGCACAACGCTTATTTCGTGAATAAAAATGAAAAACAACAGAAAAAAAAATACAATTTAAGCGGCGAATAAGCGGGCCAGCATAGCCTTCCTTTTAATCGCTTCCCTACGAAAATCTTCCCATAACATTCAGTTGACTTCCGCTGAGCTGAGCTATGTGTCAAGTGCGTTTTAGCGCTTACAAAAAGGATGCAATGGTTAAATTTTTAATGAATTCATTCGCAAAATTGCTTAATTAGCAGCTTATGACTTATGACGATTACGCGCCGCGTCGCACAACTGTACAGCCGAACAACTGACAAATTCGTGAGGGAGAGTAAATGAGTGATGCCAGTGATGCCAGTGCTGCCGGTGGTGTTGTTGCTTTTGACTGCCTCTATGGCAGCTGTGCGCTTGACGAGAGGCTGACGTTCGTTGGTCACATTCAGCGTCTCTGCGCTGATGTCTGTCCGGGGTTTTATTATTATAATTTCATTCGCGTGTTCTTAGTAATTTTTCTTGCTCACATTTATCTACTCGCTAACTGTTTTTCTCAACTTTTTGTAGCTGATGGTGCTTCTCATTAAAAATTACTTTACTTGCGCGCTGCTGCTGCTGTTGTTGCTGCTGTTGCTGTTGCTATTGTTGTTCTGCTATTCGCTAGACAGACAGTCAGTCAGCTTTACACTCCCAAATTCACCCTACAAATCCCTAAGCGCTTTTGTAATAGATCTACAATATAATTTAACTTCCTTTAGACTGTCCATATTCCGCAGCATTTTGCAGTTTGTAAAAAAAACTTCTTAATTGTTTTTGTCAACGACATAAAATTTTTATTTGCGCTTTATGTTTTCTTCTTCATATTCCACGTGTTGAAAATTTAAACTGGTGCGCAAAAAATTTGGTTCAGAACTAGCATTCGGAGAATAAATTTAAGCCCGGCTGAATCTGTAAGGAAGGGCATCTCACAGACTAAGACAATAACTGCGGAATAACTTGCTCTCGGCCCTTTTATGGAGTAATCTAAGGCTGAATAAAGCCAACCATAATGAAGAGGTTCGATCTTAGCAGTGCGGCTTCCCACACAAGCACAATACCAGAAGACCAGCCGAACTCGAACTAAACGAGGTTTTTTCATACATATCGTAGCTCCAATTTAAAGCTAGAGAAAGTAATACGAGCTCTAGAACTGAAACGAGATGGGGGAACCATTTCTATCCGGCTTAACATCGTCGTTTATATGGCCATGATCGATTTTGTTCTCTTTTTGGTTTTCGTTCGTGGCTGCATGAACGGCTGTGACCGACAAAGACACAAAGGCACAGGCAAAATAGAAAAAAGCTTTGCCACTTTATAGCGTCTAAAATGGGTAAGCACGCTGCGTGCGACATGCTGGATTCATGGTTCAAGGAACCGAAATAAATATGTTTGATGGATAATGAAGACGGATGAGAATATCTCCCGCCATCTAACTATGAGTAAGGAAAATCAATTCTTGATTCTTAGCCTTCGAAATAGTAGCCAATGCCAAGAGGTGAAATTGTAAGTGAAAAATAAAGTTCCATCTGTTCGAATCAATATTATGGAGAGAAAATCTTTAAAGAGAATGTACTGTCTTATACGTATAAGATAGCAGACGAGGGAGTGATAAGTTGTATTAGGGAGTTGGTATGCAGCGGCTAGATGAGTAAGTCATGTCGTTCGGCTGCATGAAAGCTTTCCAACTTTGAAAGTATGCAATGTAGTATAGACAAGTGAAACAAATCTCGAGATGGCCAGATTGAGAAGTTCCCTTTCTAATTCACTTGATGCCCCATTAGATGGAAAAATGTAAAAATGAAGAAATGACTGGCTGGTGGTGTGGTCGAACTATTGACATTTGGTTGGCATGACCTTGTCACAAATATTAAATCGTTGTTATATTTGTTGGTTTCTCTGTGGGGTGTACTCATATATATATACATTTTTTTTACATATTTACATGCCCCTTTTTATATCTTCCAGTAGTTATTGCTGTATATCTACGAACTTCGCTCTCTAGCGCTATATGTCCATCCCTGAGGATGATACTATATTTGATTAATTTTTTTTTGTACTTCTTTCCATACTTTGGTCATTGAGATTACAACATAATCTATTGCGAGAATAATTACTGGTGAGTACACAATGTGAAGGAGCAAGGAGCTTATTGCCACTTGAAGTACACTGCTTTAGATGCTAGTTCATGCCACAAGCCGTAGTGGTGGAATTTGTGAGAATACACACACTCACACGCACACACACACACACACGCACACTGGTTACGCATGTATGCAAGTGTTGTGGAAAGTTGATAAATTGAAGAGCTCCCTGAAAAAAAAGGAAAAGCTAAGAATTAAGTGCTACAAATAAGTACACATGAGATCCTTACCCGAGTGTGACACCCCTTGGTCGAGTGTAGCGCGGGGAACATCTGAAGTGGAAATAATTCTCAAAAATTGATAAGTACAAAATTTATGTTTTCTTATATACTTACCAGCTCTTTTCTTTTTCACTGGAAATTGAAGGGAGCGAGATAGCTACCAAGCGATTTTAGTAAATAAAATTAAGTCAAAATAAATACAGCTGATCTTGTCACCCAAAGTGGGAACAGATCAACAGCTGTTTACAAAGTGCGACAATTTAGCCAAGACGCAACCCAACAGTTAATAAGGTGTGTCCGCGGCAAACAACAGTCGGTAAAGAATAATAATATAAAAATATAAATATTAAATTAACTTATAATAATATATTTATTATTAAGAAAATAAAATAAAATAATAATAGGAAAAACAATAATAATAAAACCAAAATAACTATAATAACAGTAATAATAATATATTATTAATAATAATAAAAAATAAAATAAAATAAAAATAATATTAATAAGAATTTATAACAAGGGAAATTTTAATAATAATAATAATCACAAATAATAATAAAAAAAAAAAAAAAAAAAAAAAATTATAATAATAATAGCAGTATTGGTAATAACAACCACTATAATAATAATAAATATAATAATTACAATAATAAAAGCTTTAATAACACATAAAACCTATAAAGAAGTACACGCAAACCATGAGTGTCCCCAGGTCGCCCCCACCTGGGCGGTTGAGCATCACGGTGCCAAGCGGTGATCTTGGAAATAATAGCGAAAGTGGGCCTAGTCCATTTGATAGGTCCACAAAAATAACTCGCTCGCCGACTAGAACACGGGTCAGTTCTCCGTGCAACCGGCCACAAACAGAGCTAGATGGATGGAACCTGTTGGGGCTCAAAAATAAAAGATCTAGTCGGGATGTTGGAAGATGGCAAGAGAAGATCCATCAACCAACAGATGCGGGACATCATAGCAGAGTTACCAATGCTATATGCGAAAATTCAACACCCGCAGGTGCAAGAAGGGAAAAGTGTAGGAACACAAACGACACCGCGAGAAAAAAGAGTAACCGATAAAAACATCACTGACACAGTTAGTATCGGCATACAAACGAGAGACCCCAGGGGCAAGTCCGCTTACAAAAGGCCTTCTAACACCACGAAGACGTCCGAAGAGAAACGGCGCACACATGAGAAATGTGACGATGAAGTTTCTTCCAATAAATGGAAACTGGTGGAAAGGAAACAGAAACTGAGTAAGATCGCGAGGAAAACAGTCAAGCCCGATGCGATTGTTATCTCAAAGACGGGTGCAATTACATATGCCGACATATTAAGGCAAATGAAGCAGCAGCCTGATATGAAAGAACTTGGCGAAAACGTGAATAAAATTAAAACAACAGCAAGTGGAAACCTGCTTGTCCAACTTCGCGATAAGACAGGCAAACTTGCAAGTAAATTTAAGGAACGAGCGGCCGAGTTGCTTAAGTCTGACGCAAGTGTAACTGTATTAAGTAGCAGTTTAACAGTAGAGATCCGGGACATAGACATGGCTACAACGGCTGAGGAAGTCAGCAAAGCGTTAAAAGACCAGTTCCCTAAGTTAAATCATGGAGAAGACGTTATACTGAAGTCGCTGAGGAAGGCTAGAAGTGGCACACATACTGCAACGCTAAATCTCCCTGTACGAGATGCACAAAGCTTGGTGGAGACTGGGCGCATCCGTATAGGATGGGTGAGTTGCAGAGTCAGGGAAGTTACTCACCCAACCAGATGCTATCGTTGTCTGGAATTTGGGCACATGTCAAGAAACTGCAAATCCGCAGTAGACCGTAGTGGAATGTGCTTGCGCTGTGGAGAAAAGGGCCATATCGCCAAGCTCTGCAATGCAACACCTAAATGCGTGATATGCAAAAAGGAGACTGGTACAGACCACCCCACTGGTAGTTTTAGGTGCCCGACATATAAAAAGGCGATCACACATCTTAAACAATGATTAGATGCGTACAAATCAATTTGAACCACTGTGAGGCGGCCCAGGACCTCCTAAAGCAAACAATCTTTGAACGAAAGATTGACGTTGCATTAATCAGTGAACAGTACCGTTCACCCACAGGGGATGGAAGCTGGCTGCAGGATAAACGGGGAAAAGCTGCAATCTGGGCATGTGGAGATGTCCCGTTTGAACAAATCGGTTCAAGCCAGCATGAAGGATTCACACACGCAAAAATTGGGAGGGTTCACTTCTACAGCTGCTACGCCCCACCAAGTGAGCCACTGGAAGGTTTCAAAAACATGTTAATGCGACTAGTTAGTGATGCTGCCGGAAAATCACCGGTCATTATTGCTGGAGACTTCAACGCATGGGCGGTGGAATGGGGTAGCTCAAAGACAACTGCGCGCGGACAAGCGCTACTTGAAGCCTTCATTAACCTCGATATAGTGGTACTCAACCAAGGGAGGAAAAACACGTATCAAAAAGGAAACGCAGGGTCAATCATTGATTTGACCTTCTGCAGCGCCGCGCTCCTTGATCTCATCAAATGGGAAATACTGGACGATTTTACGTATAGTGACCATTTTGCAATTTCTTTTGTGGTACACCCGCCCCGGAGCATTGCGAAGAAAAACAGAGTTCCAAAAGTCCAAAAAAGTGGTTGGAAAACAAAAATGTTAGACAGCAGTATGCTTAGCTACATGACAGACCTTCTGCCAGACTTATTTACTGTAGGTACATACGTTAACGCAGATAAATGGGCTAATGTGTTAATGAATCACATTACTGAGATTTGTGATGCATCAATGCCAAGAAAAACAAGGGGAAACGGAAGAGCTCCAGTTTATTGGTGGAACCAAGAAATAAAGGAGCTGCGCGCTCAGAGCCTTAAGCTTCGGCGACAATATCAAAGGCAAAGGGCGAGGAGTAATCCTGAATACTTACGGCTTCAACTCTTATATAGGAGCAAGCGTGATGAGCTTCAAAAAGCTATCAAGAAAAGCAAACGGGAGGCCTTTCAAGAACTGATAAGGGACGTCGATGATAATCCATGGGGTAGCGGATATAACGTTGTACTCAAGAAATTAAAAGGGAGTAACGCTAAACAACCAGTGTGTCCTCAAATTATGAAACACATCGTCGAGGGGTTATTCCCAAAACATGATGAGTATATAGTACCAAACGAAACAGAAGTGGATGTTGCAGAAATACCACCTGTTAGCAATACCGAGGTGCTTGCAGCGGTAGCAAGGATTAAGTCAAACAAATCCCCAGGCGTTGACGGAGTCCCAAATGTTGTCCTCATGTACGTTGCTAAGAAACGGCCAGAACTCTTCACTAACTTATTCACAAAGTGTGTGCAAGATGGTATTTTCCCAAAACGATGGAAGCGGCAACGGCTAGTCCTACTCCCCAAAGGTAAAATGCCACCAGAAGAGCCATCGGCACACAGGCCTCTGTGTATGTTAGACACAGCAGGCAAACTATTGGAGGCAATCCTGAGTTCACGGATTCAAGAAATTACTGAAGGAGATCATGGGCTGTCCACTTGGCAGTACGGGTTTAGAAGAAAGCGTTCTACAATCGACTCAATAGCTGCTGTTTGTGACATAGCTCGCAAAGCTCTCGAAGGCAAAAGATGGTTTGAAGGGACAAAGCAGTACTGCGCCATTATCACTCTAGATGTGAAAAACGCGTTTAATTCTGCCAACTGGCAACAAATAATAACGGCAACAAGAAATATGAATGTTCCGGACTATTTAATACGTGTAATCAGGAGCTACTTTAGCGAAAGAGTGCTACTGTATGACACAAACGAAGGCCCCATGAAGTATAAAATAACAGCGGGCGTGCCACAGGGATCGGTCCTTGGACCGCTGCTGTGGAATATAATGTACGATGGCATTTTTAAAGTAAGAAAACCAGAGGGTGTATCCATCGTCGGCTATGCTGATGACATAGCTATTGTAGTGGTAGCAAAACAACTGTCTGACGCAACACGAAGATGCAACGAAACTATAGCGTCCGTGAAAGCATGGCTTCTAGCGGCAAAACTGGAATTAGCAGACCACAAAACAGAGGCCCTGCTAATGACCAGCCGGAAAAAGGTAGAGGCCATACAAGTGAGAGTAGGTGGCTGCATAATAGAATCCAGGCCAACAATTAAATACCTCGGAGTCATTCTGGACCGCCGACTTAGCTTCAAGGAACATTTGAAATACGCCAGCCGAAAAGCAGGTAAGGTCGGTGCGGCTGTTGCAAGACTCATGCCCAATATAAGAGGCCCCAGGCAACAGAGAAGAAAATTACTTGCGAGCATCAGTTCGTCTATTCTAATGTATGCGGCACCAATCTGGGCAGATGCCACTTTGGTACCGGCGTATCTTAGAGCACCAGCTGCGGTACATAGATTGGCGTCGCTAAGAGTATGTAGTGCGTTTGTAACAGTGTCAGACGAAGCCGCAAACCTGTTGGCTGGAAGATGGCCAGTAGATATAGCAGCCAGAGCCGCTTCGGAAGTTAGACACAACCCTACTAAGCGAAAAGAAGTCATGCAACAATGCATAAACGAGTGGCAGCAAAGGTGGGATTCGTCTTCGAAAGGAAGATGGACGAAAAAGCTGATCCCAAATGTAAGCAAATGGATCGAAAGACAGCACGGTGAAACTGATTATTATCTCACGCAGTTCCTCACAGGGCATGGCTGCTTTAGGCAATATTTGCATAAATACACGCATGCAGACACCCCTTATTGTTTGTATTGCAGTGAAGAGATAGAAGACGCAGAGCATATTCTTTTATACTGCAGCCGATTTGAAAATGAGCGCAAGGAGCTCATACAATGTATAAGAGGCACATTGACGCCGGAAAGCCTATTAGAGGCAATGATTCTTAAAGAATGTACATGGAATAGATGCGCAGAGATTATAGTAGAAGTAATGAAGCGTCTTAGGGTAGATGATCATAGATCACGCAGCCTAATGTAGAAGATGGCATGCCAGCTTGGATCGGAAACTCGTTCTTTCCGACCACGCTTAGTAGCATAATAGCAGAGTGGAGCGGAAACTAGGACTTTTCGCCCACTGTAAAAGAAGATAAACTGGGGACTTGGCCCCAGCTATTTAATTAACTTAATGTGTAGAAGATGTCATGCCAGCTTGGATCGGAAACTCGTTCTTTCCGACCACGCTTAGTAGCATAATAGTAGAGTGGAGCGGAAACTAGGACTTTTCGCCCACTGTAAAAGAAGATAGACTGGAGACTTGGCCTCAACAGCTATTTAAGATGCAAAATTCAGTGACGAGTGAGAGCCATAGCGCTTACCAGCCCCGCGAAGTAATACTTCATTGATAGTTCCGCGGGGAGAGT